TCGTGTTGCTGCAGTCACAGGAGTATCTAAAAACACTGTCGTCCGCATTTCTGGAGAGAAAAAAAGAATCGATAACCGTGAGATATCGGAATTTTCATCACCAAGAAAAACCATTAAAAAACCAAAAACAGTTATTGATATAGATGAAGCTGCACAAGAATCAAATTTTATTTTTTTATTATTAGATAGCTATTTTTGTTTCTGAGTTGTGTTCATTTACAGGCTCAATTTTTTTCCGTTTCTCCTTTTTGATTTTATATGGGGTTTCAAGTTGTTTTTGACTTATTTCGACGTAAATCACAACAACACACTTTTTTAATAAAGCAAACAAGTGTTAAGAGGTATATGTACGTGTAAACTACAATTACAAAAAATTGATATGAAACCCATGAAACCACCAACAAAAATGTAAAGCTAGCTTCCGCACTAGAACATGGTGTCATTCGTCGAGATAATTTATCGTTTTGTTTAATAGATCAAGAAATGTAAATATTCCCCTGTTATTTTTTATAAAATTATATAAGAAATAAATTTTTTTCTAAATAGTATAGTTTATTATTTTGTAGAAAAACAAAATTTCGAAAATTTTAGTGATGTTTCAGAAACAACCGTTATTAATAATAGGTACCATTTTCCTTAATAAGGTAGAAATAAAATATAAACTATTTCCACGATTTACAAAGGCCTACAAAAAAATTATAGGTATTTTCCGCTATCCTATAAAATTTATATTTTCTGACTCAATTTCAAAAGGTTGAAGGAATTCCAAAACACCTTTTATGGCATAATAATTATTTTCAATTCTACATACTATCTTCAGCTGCTTTTAAAAACGTTCTAAGAAAGTCCAATCAGACCAATTTAATCCCTAAACTATTCCACACTTTTAAAATTTAATTACATAAAAATATTAAAAATTATTTAAAATAACTTGTTTAGCAGACTGTACAATAGCTATCTTAGTCACACGTAGCGCGTTCTCTGTCTGGGCGTCGAACACCTCTAGAAATTTGATGAACTTTTGTAAAACAAAACTCAATTCTTTATTATTAGGTAAGTTGAGACAAGTTATATATAAGATGTACGAAGGTGCGCAACATGTAACAATGAAATGGTTACATAAACGATTTTTAGAAGAAATGTCTGATGTAAAATGTTTTTCACGGTCAATTAATACACGGATTCGCCTAAAAGAAGTAAAAACAGACAGTTTTTATTGAACGAACATCGATTCAGTTAATAAAATGTTGTTCAAAAATTCTAACAAGGAGAGAGAGAGAGAGCTATCTAACTTTAAGCCTGTATATATGGATGAGACGTGAGTATAAGCAGGGGAAGTGACAGAAAAAGTTGGCAAGATGAAACGATGGCTACTGCAAGTAGAGAAACATGGAATTCAATACATAATAAAATTGTCCATGGCAATGAAAAAGGGTTTATAAAAAATGAAGGACCTCATATTTAAAAGTCAAACTGAAAGCGGGGTTACTACAATACGGAAAAATTTGAAAAATGGTTTAAGACGAAATTTATACCTAGTCTAGAACACCCTTCTTTGATTATAATCGATAATGGTAATTATCGTTCGCGGTACGTTAAACCAAGTCCTTGTTATAGTTGGACGAAAGATAAAATGGTATAATAGAAAAGAACATTAATTATTCAATCAATGGTATGAAATATCAGATTAAGAAAGTTAAAATATTAAGAACTTCTCTACATCAGGGCTTCTAAAAAAGTCATCACATTATATTTTTTTAACCCCTGATACCAAACTTCTAAAAAAAAAAGAAAGAAAAGGTCCTCCCATCATTTTTAGTATATAATTTTAAGTTTTGTCTTCTACAATCGCTTCTTAGTCCATAGTATACGGAATTCCACCCCAGTCATTACAAGCGATCGACAATCGATCAAAATTGGCTTTGCAATCGACCGGTCGATCTCGATCGACTTGTTGGCCAAGGGGTGACCAACAAGTTGATCGAGAGCAGGGGGCTCTATATCACTGCCAGTACAATGGTCACAGTGCAAACGGTTTCATGACGAAACAATTTTAACAACAAAGTCGTCACCTGAAGATGTATTTCAGACTTAGTAAGAAGCTTTGAATAATGTTACCGATACTCAGTGGGACAATTATGTAAGGCACAGTATAAAAGCATAATTGTTTTTGATTGGGAAAAATACAAGAAATTAGATGTTTCTGATCTAAAACCGTTGTTATTAATTAAGGTACAATGGCAAGAAGTGATGAGTCTGAATCAGAGTCCAGTTGTGAAGAAAATTATATTGATTAAAAAAATTATCTAAAATACTTAAGTCGGGTGGTTACTCAGTTGCGTGCCTTCGTCCTATCTATCGTCCTGAAAATGTGTCATTTAAATAATTGCGCACATTTAGCATACATTTAGCGAGTAACGCGGAGGAGCTCCGTCTTGTTGGAAAATCAGTTCCTGTTCATTGCATACGGGATCGTTCTCTATGACATTTGTTAGAGATGGGTCCATGACATTTTGTAGTAAATCCAAGTACATATGGCCTGTTAAATTTCCAAGAAGGAAAAAAGGGCTTACAAGGGAATTTCTAAAAATACCAGCCCATAAATTTACCTTCTCGGAGTGTTGTGTGTGTTTCTCGTAGAAAATTTTTGAAATACTGTCAGCTGAGTAAGGCAATTATGGCGATTCACTAATCCATCTAGGAAGAAAGAACACGCATTCTAAAAACGCATAGTAAATACTAAATTATCATTGTTCAACGCCCGCTCACTCAATTTCGCAAAAGTGCAACCGACGATCGAAGTCGTCTTCATTTAGTTTTTACACTAAGCAAATTTTATAATGATGGAATTTGTATTTTTTTATTATCCATTGGACACTTGTACGAGACACACCCGTCGCAAAGGCCAATTGTCTTGTACTCAGCGTACTATCCACTGTACTTGCCTCAATACTGCTATCTCCGTAGGTTCATTTAAGACTGGATTTTCAAGGTTCCTCTTTTTGTTGTGAACCGAATCTGTTTCGCGAAATTTTTCCACCGATTCGTGAACAATTTTTCCAGAGAGTTTTTAATCAGGATGCCGTTGGTTAAACAGCTCCGCGACCCGATTTCCACACTCATTGTTTTTGACAATAAGCTCAATAATTTCTACTCTTTCTGCAATTGAGTACACCATAATTAATAAATATTATTAATTATTATTATTAATTAATAATAAATTAGTAATGTTCATAATGAAAATGACACTGAAACACTAAGCATAAGACAGGTATCTAGCAAATACTTTAATTTAAACGTAAAGAAATCTGATAATTGTTTGCTAACAAAAAAGAACCTAAAGAATCCTCAAAGCGACAAAAACAGCAAAGTCATTTGAAAAAATACCATTATAGCAATAAATGTTTTAGTGTTTCGAGTTAATGAAGTGTGTTATTTTAAATCTAGGAATAATTAATGTAATATAAAATATTGAACAAAACTAAGTGAACGTGTGATGGACGAAAAGATAATTAAGTTAATTGTACATATGATATGCAGAATACAGGGTGGCCCATCGAAAACATACCTCAATGCATTACAGGGTGGAAAAGAATTTTTCAGCGAATTCCAAAACACGTCAAGTTTGTCTGTCAAGACGAGAAACAGTGTGTGAGCTGCATTTTCATAGGCACTTGTTCCTAATTTTTTGGTTGTCCTTAATGATGACTGCATGTTTAATATAATGTATAAATTGCATTACTACTATCTCTAAGTGCTTTATTGTTAATGGCTGAAACCCTTCTTGTCTTTTGAAAAGACTAATAAATTGGGAAAGTAGTGAAAATATTTCTAGGTGAATCAAAATCCAAACAACATTTAACAGCCATATTTTCTTGCCTCTATCTTGAAGTCTGAATTTTTGCACGAGTTGACAAATGACACTGACAACTATTATTTCGTGCCATCCCATTTATTTAGTAGTACTTATGAAGACTAGAGATAAGGAGGCGAATCGGCCTTGGTCAAATTTCAAATTTCCGTCCCTATTTTTATGAAGTTCGAAAAAACTACTGTAGTTGGCGGCTGGCAAAATAACGATGTCTATTTTCTATGCAAGTCAATGGGAATTAAAGTGATTTTGCTGAAGAAACTATTCACCAGGATGATGAAATTGTAGTTGTCGAATACAAAATTACCACAAAACTGTTCTTACCAAATTTCACCATTTAACAAACCTTTTTAAATTTGGTCATACCTAATTTTCATTTTATTTATATAAAATTAAATAATGAATAGTAAATAATGTTTAACATAAGGACTCATTTATAATTAATACCAGCAGTATTTTCTGTACTTTAGTTAGCAATTAAAACAAAGATTTATTTACAATAATTATAATCAACAGTATTTTCTGTGCTTTAGTTAGCAATAAACAATTTGATTTTTATTATTTTCATAAAATTTTGTAAAATCCCTAACTAAATATTTTCATTTAAACCGTGTCTTAGTATGCCCTCAGCCCTGTTTAGCTTTAATTAAAAATAATTAGCCCTACCCATCAAATTTCAACACTTATCATCAATATTTTTGAATTTTACTTAAATAAGAATAAACAGTAAATAATTTATCAATTAAAATATGTTATGTGCTTTATTTAGCTATAAACAAGTTTATTTTTATTATTTTGACAAAATTATGTATAATTCCCATAAGAAGCCATGTATTTTGAACTACGTAAACCATACCAGCGCCCATGCGGTTAATTATAAAAGCTCAATTGACGTGTGATTTTTGAGACCGTATTTTGAGCATGCCGATTCGCCTCCTTATCTCTAGTCTTCACAGTAGTACTAAATTACTTTCATAATTTTTTCCATGTGAGTTGCTACCCCCTTGTTCCAGGTTCGGTCCCTTATCATTTCTATAATTTTTTCATTGTCTCAATTTCTCAGTTTTTTAGTTTTTTTTTATTTTAGGGATGTGAGATATAGATTTAACAATTATTACTTTATTTTTAGGATATTTATGCACAAAAATTGCCATGCTCAAATTGAGAGTATGCCAAAATGCAGATGAGCGACTCCAACTTACTCATGAAGTTCTAGCAGCTATACGAGTAATCAAAATGTATACTTGGGAGAAATTTTTTATCGGAAAAATCACCGAATCAAGAAGGTTAGTAGTAAATAAATACGAGGCCTGTTCTTTTTATGTTGAGCCTAGTAAAGTAAAACATTTATATATAATTTTTCAAAGTATTCGCCCTCACAGTCAATGCATTTTGCATCTTCGAGAACCATTTTTAAAGGCATCAACCGCTTCTTCGGCCGATATCAAACGTATACCGCATAATTCATCCTTTACCCGCGGAAATAAAAAGTAATTAGAAGCTAGGTCTGAACTATATGACAAATGACATATATTACTTCTATGTTTGGACATTCAAATACTCATTTGTTCAAAGAGCAGTGTGCATTATCTTGATGCAAGATGATTCTTCCTCTTGGACGTTTTTTGCGAACAATTGGGAAAACCTGAGGCAAATAAACTAAATAAAAAAAAGTAGGGACCATCTTTTTGTTTCGGCTTTTTTCACGAATAACTTTTGTTGGAACCGACACGTTCTTAGAGATCCAAACTGACAATTGTGGCTTTTTTCAGAATTAAAGGCAGTATACCCATGTTTCATTACCAAGGACCGGAAAAAATGCAGTTTACATTTTTTGCATTTTTTCCAAAAATTAAGTAATGTTGCATTTTTTCAAATTTTTCACACATTTGGCATTTTTTTTTTAAATTCAGAAATGTTGCATTAATTTTCTATTTTCAATACCAAAGGTCCACATATTTTCTGCAAATCAATTGCATTAAAATGGGCATTTTTTATATTTTTGGTGTATTTTTCTTAGATAAAAGAAACAACAGATGATGCATTTCATTCATAAAGTATGTTTTGTTTGGTCCCAATCATCGGAAAAGAGAAAGAAAATATTTTATGCGAATCGAAAGAAGACAGACTGTAATCGAAAATCTCGTCTGACAACGCTGCTGTTGTACGCAACTAAAAGTCTGTTAATACCAGTGGCGTATCTTATTAAAGATAAAATCATAACTAATTATAAAAAAAATAATGAAATACTAACCGATATGGTGTGCAATAAACTTTATAATGGTTTAAACTTTAAAACCGATTGGATTTGGTATAAGGATATGAAGTTCAATGGAATGTAGGAAAAAAGCTTAAAAACACTATTTTTTTCCAAGAATAATATATTTATTACATATAAAGATGTTAAATAAAATAAAATAAATAAAATAAAAACAAGATAAATAAATCAAGATTTATTTTAAACAAATTTACGAATTCAATTTTGGGGTTAAAATTTAAACAGTTTTACAAGTTGGTAAATGAGAGATTTTTAAATCAAAATTTAAATTTTTAACACTACTAAATTTATAAAAGTTATTAAATCAATAAATTTACCATACTTATATAAAAGATGGGGATTTTAAATGAAACGCTTCTTATAGCGGATCTGGTAATAAGAATTTTGTAAAATCCGAAAACACGTAGAACTGTACAACAATAAACCTATCCATTGATAGTTTTTAACTTGTAAAACTAGGTAGTAAACTAACTTACTTATTATCATCATCCATAAATGTGCGCGACATAGATAAATTATCTTCTGGTTTCTTACTAGAGCTGTCAAAAATACTGATACTGGAATCAGAGCTGTAACAGAGCATTGAGAACTTTTAATGTAAAGGTAAGTATACATTTTGATTAATAATAAGGTAGTTCATGAAAATATTCAAAGAAAGAGGCATGTAATATGAGTTTATAAAAAAATTTGTCCTTGTTAAGCACCTACCAAATTTAAAGAACTTACAATATAAAAATTTCTTTGTAAGATAAACTACCAAGTTTCATCTTAAAGGATAAACACTTAAATGAACATTTCCGAAACATAATTAAGAAAGTTTTTAGTTACCTAAGGACCGATTCCACCGTTGTGTTAAACGAAGTTTAAAATGACATTTTTACATTAACAATGTCATTTTAATCTCCGTTTAACATAACGGTGGAATCGGCCCTAAATGAGCTTTCTCGAAACAATGAACTTAGTTTTGGCAGGCTTGTAACATAGCTAGTGTGTGTGCGGGCCCCCTAAACTATACAACCACCATCACACATGAAAAGGTGGGCCACCGTGCATGCGCCAGCAGTGTGAGGTTAAGATTAGAGAGAGCACAGACAAGCCACGTTGTGGAAGTAGTTAATAAGAATGTAATAATTATATGTTTGAAGCTCAGTTAAATAAAAGTTTAATAATAATAGTTGATACTTATTATAAGGCTTGAGATATTTGCTTTTTGAAGAATATCTTAAGATCAAAATGCTCCGAGCATAACACTCTTTTTTAGATACCTTCAGCACCCACATTTTCCAGTTTTTGCTCAAAATGCACTCGCGAACCATGTTTTTAGCCATACGCAGGGTTACCAGGTTTTTGAAAGAGATGACGTACAGACAGAGGATTTTAGGGGAAATAGGGGGAAGTAAAAACAACTCGGTCTATTTTTACTCTTTTAATCAAAATTACTTCTTTTGCAAGAAATCCTTACCTAATTTTGGTAAAGGTACACTGAGGTGATTTTACAAATAATAAGGTGAAAATGTAAAGTTAGAAAATCGAGAAATGTCAAATCGAAATCCAAAGTCAGAAACATTTTCACCTTATTATTTGAAACACATCAGTCTATCTGTACCAAAAAATAGGTACGGATTTTTTTACAAAATAGGTAATTTTGATTAAAAAAATTAAAATAGACAGAGTTGTTTTTACTTCCCCCTATTTCCCCTAAAATTCACTGTCTGTCCGTCAACTCTTTCAAAAATCTGGTAACCCTGGCCATACGCAAGCCGAAATTTTTCCAAAAAAGTCTAAAGGTTAACAAAAACACCCAATATGCAACAATTTACTGGATCGCAACGTCGCAAACTATCGATGGCTAAAATACTATACGTCACGTCCGTGACGTATAGTATGAATGAAACAAAGTTATTTTAAATTGCGGTGATGTCACGTTTAACGCTTTTAAAATCCTTGCATTTATTTGCAGGAATAATAATGGTGTTTGCCATAGTTTATCTTAGTATTTGCAAAGTTGTTATTTAGCAAGCGTATGTATGTAAAAACGATAGATACAAAAATGCCCTGCCTGATGGTGTAAAAATAGGTTCTGCTAAAATATCAAGTCTGCTGAAAGCAGTTACACTAGATTAATTATTATTGACTGTCTCTGCAAATGGTTTATACATTCACATGGTTCAAACGGTGGGTAAAAATATTAATCATTCAGGTTTAAAAGCTAGGTTCACAAAGAATTAGGATTGTAATTTTTAGGGAAAGCACAATTGTTGCTGTCATGTCTTATGTGATTTTTGTGAATATTAAATAAATGTTTTTAACCACTTTGCACAGGATAGGGATTGTCACAGGTGTAATTTGTTAAAGTACAATGTTGTTACATGCCTTTGGAGCATATTTCATTTCGTTATCAGTTGATGGACGAAGAAATTTGCAGTGTTCTCACTTACTATAACAAAATAAAATATATGACAACCGCCTATATTCAAACAGCAGTCTTCTGTGCATCTGAATTAGTATCCCTGGAGTGGATGTTATTTTGGAACATCGAGTTGGTCTGAGTAAGCTAATTGATTCTTTAGGTATAAACTGTGGTGATACCTTTTATCATCAGATAATTAATAACCCAGTCTTTGACATTGCCTTAACTGTTGAGAAGGACATGATTATAACTAAAACAGAACCTTGAAAATATTTTTTACCTCTCGCAACGCGATTGCTTACAATGACTTCACATATAAGGTAAGACAAAAATTGGTCAAAAAAATTGATGACCGTCAAGTCAAAGTCAACGATTTAATGAAACTAGACGTCGTGCCACATTACTTAAGCCAGGCGATATCGTGTCTCTTGAAGATTCACAGCTCGCAGATGGAGAAAAACTAAGGCCAAAATACAAAGGGCTTTACACTTTTCAAAAGATATTATCATATGAAAGGGACAGTAAACGACTGTAGCTTCTCACGATCAGTTAAGGCTGTGATCATCGCAGTAATCCCACAATATTAAATTAAAATAAAATACTTATTTTTGTTAACCCTTTATGTTCCAGATAAAGATTTTTTTTAGATTTTTTCAAATAATTTTTTCAAAATTTTTGTGCCCCCCTCTCCTAAAAATTTGGGGCCAAGACTTTCAAGTCCCATTAGGGTAAAAAAAAGGCATAATGTAAATTATAAAAAAAATATCTATCGAACAATCTCATGATATATTTTAAAACAATTGTTTTTTTCGTTAACGCACAAATATACCTTACAATTTAAACACTGCGAATGTGGTCTGAATTCTACTGCAATTGACGAACATTGCTCGCATAGTCCTCTTTTGGAAGTGAAAACTGGCCAGTGGGCTTCTTGATTTCCCAATTTAACATCGTTTGACACGCTGTAGTTGTATTTTCTACGTTTTGGTACAGTGGTTATTGAAGTTCCAGAAGGCGTATTTCGAGAGCTATTTCTAGGGCTATTGGTATTGCGGTTGCTTGAAGATTTCTTTTGTATTGCAGAGTAGTTGCTGTAGTTCATTAGCCCTTGAGCAACCCTTCTCTTAAATTCCAGCAGCGTGATTTTGTCCTCTGGGTAAACTCTTTTATAAAGCACATAGCTATTCACGAATTCTATATCAAGTATTCCAAAAAATAAACGGTGCCACCATTTCTTTGAGCGTCTATCTATACAGTAAGCCTGTCGAAGTCAATCCGCGAGATCTAGGCCCTCTATATGGACATTATTATCATTAACTATCTGAGGTCAATCTACATCTTTTGCGGTACCGTCTTTTTGAAGGCGTTTAACTTTACTCATTTCTGTACCGTGGAAGTTAGAGAGAAAATACACTATTCGATTGTCACACCACTTGAAAAATTACAAATCCATACTAGATACCCTATAATCAACATCGCCCCGCTTTTTACTTTTGTCTTCAGTCATATTGGATGGTAGTCCTCCTAATCTATCCCGTTGAACAGTTCTACATGCAAGCGTTTTTTTCGTTTATAGTTTTTCCAGGAGAGCTACCGAT